AGACCGGAATGTGCGGAGGGGTAAGTGGGAAGTACGTGCTTTTTATATTCCCCACATTTTGTGTCTTTCTGCATTTCGTGTGAGGAGGAAAAACAATGTTTTAGGCTTTTTATTTTATTTGCCACTGCTTTTCATGTATAAGCGTAGTTTAGGCTGCGGAATGCTGACAGGACTGAAGATGGTATCTGTAAAGACTGCGTTATTAAACTTGTGCTTTTTTTAAATTTTTGATAGGTGCGTGGAGTTGGCACTGGTGGCATTGTATCAACTGCTTTCTGTCTTCTGTACAAACTGTTTACTCTCAAGCTGACACGCAAACAGGTGATGGGTCTCATCACTCACACAGATTCTCCGTACATCAGGGCACTTGGATTCATGTACATAAGGTACAAGTCTACTTCCCATAATCTTAAGTTAGTAAAAGCTTGTCGCTATAGATATTTTCACCAGATCCATTACCCAATGCTTTCGCTTCTATTAATCTAAATCATTTAAAAGGAACCTCACTGTAAAATGATATAAAAAGGGAACAAGTTGAAAAAATGTTGAATTCTGACCTTTTTTGTGTTGCAGATACACTCAGCCTCCAACAGATTTATTAGACTGGTATAATGATTTCCTGGATGATGAGGAGGTATGTCACCCCGGGTAATAATTTAACTTTCTCTTGTAAAATTCTTAGTGAGATGCTCCATATGTAAAGCTAGCAGCCCCCACATTCCACCCATTGTGATGCTCATAGCTGATTTTTCACCTTTGCTTTCATTTGGCTTAATTTTTCCCCAACTTATGTCGACTGAGCCTGAGTAGCTAGGTTAATGCTCGCTTCTCTGCTGCTGTTTATTTCTCAGGGTAAGTACGACAATACTATGGAATAAACGTTTTCATTTATTATCAGGTTAAGAAATGCCCTCTGTTTTACTCATTCATATATGTATTTTATCACAAAATAATACAAAAAAAATTAAATGGTACCTAATTTGTTATTAGAAAGACAGGAGAAGTATTTTATATGTTTTTATGCTAATTTTTGGTGAGAAAACATAGAATCTGGTTTAAGGCAGCCAAGCCTCTCTTCATGTTCTGTTGCATTATATTTGATTTTTCTAAAGTCCTACCCAACTTGTTAATTCCCCTGTCTTTTCCTTTAGATGCCCCTTGTGCAGCAGGTGAATTGGATATTGTTTCTCAGCACTGTTGGTTTGCGTGAGTGCAAAGCAGCTGTTCTCTACCATACAAAGCTCATATCTACTCATCCTGAGTACATTTCCCCGACCTGCTACAATCTGTGCTTACACTGTGAGCGTTTTAATTCTCCCAGAGTTCAGAAAGCTTCTGGGGAAACAAAGAAGAAAGAAGCACATGCTTCTTTTTCTTTCTTCCTGTAGCACACTGACCAAACATTATCCCTTTATTTTGCTTGGAAAATCCAGATTACAGCTCACACTGTTAATACAGACTACAGGAACTCTGACAAGTGATATGTTAATGTTTGTGTTCCCTCTGTTAAATATCAAAGATTAAGCTAGATGAACAGAGGTGAAGGTTCAGTACTTGGTCATCACAAATTCTGTTTGTTATGAAATAATATTTCACAAGGAAATACTTCTATTGCCTTAATTATGTGTAATAACTGTTTGTTTTGCTGTGTGTGTGTCCCACTGTTTGATTGTAGGAGCTTGACGTAAAAGCAGGTGGCGGCTGTGTCATGACCATTGGGGAGATGCTGCGTTCCTTCTTGACCAAACTGGAATGGTTCTCCACGCTGTTTCCCAGAATCCCCGTGCCCGTTCAAAAGGCCATCGATCAGCAGATGAAGGCGAGGCCGCGTAAGGTGGCCCAGAAGGAGCCGGAGGAGGAGGCCGAGTTCACAGAGTCAGGGAGGCAAGGAGAACGACGACGCTCCAGGTAGTTTTTGTGTTTTTATCCCGGTCCTTAAGTTTTATTGTTTTGAAAAGTCACACCAGTGGTTTTTATATGCTCTTCTTTAGCTTTTTATTCAAAGCAAATAGTTAAAATCATTTGAGTGATGCAGTTTTAGATGTTCAATTGTTTACAGCTTGCAAGTTTTCTCAAAGTCCTACACAGTATGACAATATTAAGAAGCGAAGATTCAAGCCTGGTGGAGAAAAAGCAGCAAGTGAGGTCTTTCACTCAATAATTTAGAACATTATTTAAAAGTAAACCTTATCTATTCCTTATACGGCTGTATTAAAAAAAATAGAACATTATTGTGTGGAAATGTTCAAACGAAACTGAAAATATTTATAGCAGGGCTGAATTTACTCTGGACATAAAACTTTTTATTGGTTACTTTCTCAGTACGCTGCGACATTCCGACTGCGACTGACTTCATTAAAATCCTTTTGTAGTAATCTTGGTAAATTTTTCTGCGAAACTGAATTTTGGCTTTTTATCTGTAATCATCTAATCAGGTGGAAATAAACACTTGACATAGATCCTTTTATGCAGCAAATCCTTTTGAAATGAATCACTGCAATACATTAACTTTTTAATCTAATTCAGCGAGTTACATTTTGACTGAACTGTCTCCTCCTCATCAGGACGCCAAGACGGACGCCGAGTCCCAAAAGGTCTCCCAAGCGATCGAGAAGCAGGAGCCACCACCGTGAGAGAGACCGCCACGGGCCGAGCTTTGACCGGGAGCTGGAGCGCGAGCGGGACCGGCAGAGGAAGGAGAGGGACGGGGGGCGGGACAGAGAGCGGGACAGGGCAGACAGAGGGGACAGGGAAAGACGGAGATCACGTAGCGCAGACAGGAACAGAGAACGCAAAAGAAGTCTCAGTGGCAGCAGAGAGCGGAGAGGCGAACGCAGGGAGAAAGAGAGGGACGGGGCAGAAGACAGGGGTAGGAAGAAAGACAGGGACCATCACAAGGACAGAGGGACGGAGAGGGACAGGTCCAGAGATAGGAAGAGCAGGGCGGAGAATAAAGAAGACGAGCGGAGGCATAAAGAAGACAGGGACAGACACAGGGAGGACAGAAAAGCCAAACGGTCGAGTCGGAGCAGAAGCAGAGAAAGGAGGCATAAAGGCGGAGCGGAGGAGAAGAGCAGGAAGAGGGACCGCAGCCACAGCAGAGAGAGGGAGCGCGAGCGGGACGGCGAGCGCTCTCACAAACGCAGCCGCAGCAAAGAGAAGAGTCGCCACCAGCGGGAGTCCAGTAACGAGCACAGTAAACACGCTGAACGGAGAAGAAGTCAGAGTACGGAGTAAACACGGCGGCACTGCTTCCACCTTTCTCTCTGCTCTGCTGTCTGGCCAGACATGGACCCTAAGTGAAGGAGCGTTGGCGTCAAGCCTTCACGTCTTGAGGTCATGTGCAGCCAAATGTAACGTTGATTCCCACCTGTTTTCATATGTTTTAACTCCCTGTTAGAACATTGTTAGTCCTCATTTAAAATCTGTACAGTAAGAAAAAAATCCCGGCATTTTAGTTTTCTATGATTCTTGTTTAGATCCAATGAGAAGTGGGTTTGTACATACTGTCTAGATAATGTCTACACACTGTTGTCGGACAGAGTTGGTTTTGATTGTTCACCTCGGTACTGTCAACATATGCTATATGTAAATCCTACCAGGTTATGGGTTCTATTTTCGGCCTCAAAAAAGCAGCGTGCTTTTTTTTGTTGTTGTTTTGGATCTCTGATAGGATTATGATATATGCGCATCTATAAATACTGACGGTTTGAATTCAGAGGTGAAGCTTTACAATTCTCTCCATGACCGTTTGTAGACAGTCCAGGAATGTTTTAATCCTCTGAAGGGCGGACCGCAAAGGTAAATTTTTACCACACACACTTGATCCCTGCTTGTGTTGTGTTTGAGTTATTACTCTGTTGCATTTTGTTTTCTAATAAAACCCTTTTACAAATGGTGTTTGTGTATAAAGGTGAATGAGGGACTTTGCCTTCAGCGTAGCAGATAATGTATAAATGAATATTCATGTTTCTTAAAGTCTTATCTCACGGAGTAATATAAAGGTAAATGAGAGCGAAAAAGTCAATGCTGATTTTATTGACCTGGACAAACTGAATCTTGAATATTATGACAATAGAATCGGGAATTTACCTGTTAGAAAATACACCAGTGTATTTTAATGAATATTTGATAAAAGGTTAAACTTTATCAACAAATTTTACTGAATTTTATGAAATTTAAATGGAAAGGTTTCAGGTAGTGTTATTTTTTTTTCTAACCTGACATCCAGAAAGAGGAGCTAGGAAACAAGAGCAAGAAAAATGGCAAGTAGTGACATCGTAAAACAGCCTTAATGAACCAACCAGGAAATTGTACTTTTGGTCTTGAATCGCCACTGAAAGAATGTAGAAAAGCATAACTAATTGGAACTCTAGACATTTCGACGGCCTTCCCTCCCCAACAGAATCTGACTGGTTTTGTGTCTTGGTTTATTGTTTCTTACTCTCAGTTGCTTCTCAGACTCAACATTTGATAAGACACAAAATGTCCCCATAGTGACATCAATTCAGTCCAGCCAGGGGCGTCATTAGTGCGCATTTCGTTAAAGAAATTACTTAAGTAGATCACATGTACATCCCAGTTTTTAAGTTTAGTAAGCTCAGTAAATTATTCCAAGGAGTTTAAAAAATTTTACGTGAGCGGTTGCCCAGGGTGACATTAGAAAGTGGGTACAGTGCCCAAAAATTCGAAAATAAAATGTCTATTGTGCCATGAACCAGATAGAACAATAAGTTCGGTTAAAGTTTAACACCGATTGCAGCTAAGAATCAACTAGTTTATCTCAAGACTTCTAAATTGATAATATTCACTTTACAATCTACTTGGAACAGTATTGAAACCCATCATAAATATAGGAAGTTGTGAACATATTTTCTGTAGGATAAAAATATAATCTGAATCTGCTCATGGTGTCGGTCCTCTGCTTGATGAAGGTACCTAAATAAAGTGAAAATGACATACAAGGACGATTGTTTAAAGAAGAAAAAGACTGAATCCAGTAAAGATTTTGTCACTTTAATTATAATAAAAATGTATTTCTTTTAATTATTATTATTAAAATACATTTAAAACTTAAGTGCATGGTCATGTTTATACACTTTCTGATATGTTTCCCAAAGGCAAGTTACTGTAGAATTTACAAAAGTGGAAAAAAAAATGAAAGGGGGGAAAGTGTGAAATTGAATCTTAAAACTATAACACTACCCAAACAATTTTCAACAATCTACTCCATCTAAAGCCCCTGTGCTTTGCGTACAGGATATGTCACATTAAGTGTGCTTCCACCTGGTCAACCACATTATTTTCTTTAGCTGACCTGCATCGCAAAGATTTACCTGCACGGGTTATTGTTTTTTTTTTCTCCATTTACAGTGCAATCCCTTGGCCTATTTGCACACACACGGGCTCTGACTCCGGTCCGCTCATGTCTGCGGTCACAGCCAAGACGGACAGACAGTAGGCAGAGCCGGGCCTCAGTTCGCTCACAATGATGCTCTCCCCGTACACGGTGAGCTCCTGGTCGTCGTCGGAGCCGCCTTGGTTCCTGATCAGCAGGTTGTAAAAGGAAGCGCCCTCCACCGGAGACCACCGGAGGAACAGGATAGATGGCGAGGGTTGTTTGACGTCCAGCAGCGGCGCGGGAATGTTTCCTACAATGGAAAACAAACCATAGATAACAGCCATCTTTCAAATGTTTATCATTAATTCTGTTCAAGCTAACAGTTACATCTAGACTAATGACAAATAGAGGGTATTATACTATATAAATGAAAAATCAATCTTTATTTAATTAAACTAGGAAGCATTTCTTTTTTGTTTGTGTCTGTTAGTTTTGAAGATTATAGCCTAAAGCTAATAAATATTATGTAGGAGCATTAAAATATGGATTTGTCATGCAAAAATACTAGCTGAAAAAAACAACACTTTGTTTCTTTTGGATTAATTCCTGCAGTTACTGCTTTTGGGTATTTCTATTGATAATAGTTCATAGATTGTTCATGGAATTTAACTCAAGCTGATCAATCAAACTAAAGCAGGTATCAATACTTTTCAGAAGGCACCAAGGAAATGAAGCTTGTAAAGGGAAACATGGCCACTCACGCACCTTTTTTTTCTACTCATTCACAGCAAGCAATAAACTAACAAGTCTTAAAACTCACCATTCTCTGGTGTTTGTTCCCCGAGATCTCTCCTTCTGACTAAATGTACTGTAACTAAACAGAGAAAAGAGCCTATCAGTCTGTTTTCCAAATACAAATGTCATTTTGATGTTTTTTTTTTGTTGTTTTGTTTGTTTTCCTTACCCTCTGTGACGTTTGCAGGTTGACTTTCTCCTGCAGCGTTGCTGGCTGTGACCACCAGACTGCTGGAAGAGACATTGGACAGGGAACAGGACAGCGTCGCAGTGCTGCACAGCCGCTTCCTTGGGGACACGCTGTCGTCATACAGCGTGTACTTGGTGGCAAACACCGATGAGTTCCATGAAACGGTGGCAAAGACGCTGTTGCCGCTGTACGCCACTCCTGATGGAGGACAAGGAGCTGGGAAAGGGAAAAAGAAATGGGAATTTATACTTGAGATATTGCTTCTTTTAATAACTATTAATATACTTTAAACGAACACTGACAATGTGTAAGTGGAGCAGAACTAGTGAAAGTTTTTTTATTTTGAGAGATTTTTCAGATTACAGAAAACTCTTCCCTTTATGCAGCATCTATTTGTCGTGTACATTTTGGATTTTCTGGACTCTGTTCTGTTGGTGCTAATGGATGGATGGTCGCAGAACAGTAAAAAAAAAAAAAAAAAAGGTTTATTTTTTTTCAAAACAACATCAAAAACCAGTTGATATTAGACGGAAACACTATCTAAAATGAATACATAAAAAAAATATAAAATACATAAGAAAAAATATAAAATAATTTCAATCTTGAGGAATCCTAAATCTTACATATGATGCCAAAATGGCTCAATTAGAGAGTTTGGCTCAATTAGAGAGTTTTCCTCATTTCCTGCTCTGCTATCACTTATTTAAAACTCACATGCCTGACTTAAGCATCAGTTTTGGTTTAAGTTATTGGTTGGACGTTGTGCTGCGATTTATTATGTTGTTTTAAATGAACAACTTGGCTTGAAGTGGAAGCTGCAGACTTTTGTTAATGAAATCTGGCCACTCCATCCTGGCTTGCTTCTCTGAATATTTATGGTTGCCAATTCAGTTCTGACATACAGTGCAATGTTTTGCAGCAGCCGTGCAAAACAGAAGTAACATTTTTGAGGGAGGTATTTGATTCAGGAGAAAAAAGCCTAGCGGTCTGGTCTGATGCCTTTTGATACGTTAATATAGTTCACCTCGACTTGTAGCTTTAAAATAACCAACTTCAGTTCAGTCTACCTGTGGTTCCATTCAGGGGTGTTGATTTGCCGCTCGTTCCTGCCGCATTCCTGCTCTGCAGTGTGGCAACGTAGGATGAACTGCAGGGAAGAGGGATCTCAAAGTACGTGATGTTGGTCCAGTAGGAGGAGATCTCAAACAGAGCCTGGCCGTCTCCTAGCAGACGTCCTGTCAGGGTCAGCAGGTACTCCGTTTCTGCGCACAAGACCTGAGTCCAGATGAAGCGCATCACCTGGATCCCCATCTTCATCGGGAACAGCTGCACCTCAACAGCTTTAGGAGGACAAGGGACTGCAAAGGACAAGGGGGAATGGTAAGTTTTCTGCTTTAAAAACTCTTTTAGAAGTTATATGCTGGGTTTATACCTCCTGCAATCGGCACCGGGTCACTGACGGAGCTATTGCACGTCCCATCTGAGGCCTGCACGGAGAAATTGTAAACCGTCCCGCAGACGAGCCCGTCGATCGTGCAGCCAGGACCTGTGCTGTGACAGTAAAGCCTGTCTCCGTTCTCAGCTTGAGCACAGCCATAATAGCCCTTTGCGTTGTCACTGGGCCTCCAGGTCAGCGCCGCAGACTGATTGTCACAATGGAGAGTCACCGAGAGTCCACTTGGCTGGCAGGGGCCTAATCAGACGGAGGAATTTTAGTCGGCCATGACTCTTAACCTCAGAAATGTAGCTGCGGTTTTCTCATTCACTGGTACCTGTGTTAACTGTCGCACTCTGACTGGCCTTGCTGGTGCAGTTCTCGTGACTGGCAACCACAGATACCGTGTACTGCTGGTCGCAGTGCAGCTCCGACATGCTGCAGTTGCTGGAGGTGGAGTTGCAGGTGTGTTCATGCCCGTCTGCACCCGTGGCAACCACGTGGTAGACTTCGGCAACGGGAGAGGAGCTCCAGGACACCAGAGCGCTGCGATCCTCACAGGAGACGTCCACAAACACATCCTTAGGAGCACAGGGCTCTGTGGGAAAATTTTCTTCATGAAGGCTCGTTTACAGATTTAATATTTTATTCATCTTATTTCTTTGTGTTCTATGTTTAATTCTGTAGTTTTCTGCTGGGCTTTGGTTCCCTTCACTCACATCCACATCATTTCCAAGTTGTCAGTGTTTTTCTGCCCTGCTTTATTTTCACAACTTAGTGGAATATTGTTGTATATAAATAGGCAAAATTGTATTTCTAAGAAATTTCTCAAACTGACTATCAGGTCAGGGCAAAACATTTTCCATTTCTCTCTGAAGCTGGACTGAAAGTCATCATGTTTAGTAAAGCACTTTGAATTGTTGCTGCATCTTAAAAACAAATTTGTTGCACATTCTTGGAAGCATACTACCTGTATTTTTTATCTATCCTGTCAAATAAATAATAGGCATGTGTTCAAAATCGTCTCTTTTTTTCCCCTCTGTGCACTATTATAAGATACAACAAACATTAAAAAGAGGGCAACAGTGCAAACAACTCTGTTGTAAAAAGTGGGACAGCATATGGGGCTAAAAAACAGGGATAAACAAACAGATTTTACCCATGCTAATTCTGTAGGGCGGACTCCTCAAAGAGCTGCAGCGGTTCGATGAGGCGGCCACAATGATGGTGTAACGGAGATCACACTTTGCTCCCCGGAGGAGGCAGCTGCTGCCCATGCTGTTACAGTACAGGTAGGTTTGATCACTGGCCTCCGCTGTGGCAACGTACACGGTTCCTCCAGCGCTGCCTCTCATCTGCTTCCACTCAACCAGAATGGAGGAGTTATGGCACTGAGCAAAGGCGGTGATAGCAGGGAGGGAGCAGGGGGCTGAAAAATGGGACAAACGTCAGTAACTTAGACTGAGGAATACCACACACTGTGGTAATCCTGCACAACTTTGCCACAGTTGTGCAGGATTGTGAAACGAAGGGGAAAAATTCCTGGCCTTTCAAATTATTTAGAAATAAACCCTGATGTGTGGTGTGCATATGTACCAAAATCCATTTGGAAAAAAAAAAGCTGTTACAAGCGGCAAAATCTAAGAGGAACTAAGAGGTTTGCCAACCAGCTGGACAACAAGACCAGCGCTACTATGGATTGGTTTAGATCAAACCATCCTCATGTTTTCAATGCAGATCTAAATCTAAAGCTGTTGATGTTCTGGAAAATTAAAAAAGCAACAATTTCAATCTACAGATGTGAAAAGCTGGTAGAAACAAACTCCTCATGACGGGTAACTGTAGCAAAGCAAATGTCAAGAAATGCCACAATATTAATATTTATATATATTTAAAAGTGTGAATTCAGTTGTGCTTTTGCTTTACAGTTACACAACATTTTGTGTTGGTTTATCGCATCAAGTCCTAAAAAGATAAATATTTCAAATGTATAGTTTTGAATATTACAAAAGCTTCTAAGCAGGAATCTGCGTTAACAGCGACTCTGTGTGAATCACCTGTCTGCAAGCTGATGGAGGCACTTGGTGGACTCTCACACTGACGGTTCTTAGCAGTGACAGTGAAGTTGTAGGAGACACCGCAGGCCAGGTCTTCCACCTCGCATGTTGTGTTGGTGGAGGTGCAGTTGGCTGTGTGGGCCCCGTCTCCAACGGCGAGCACGGTGTAGCTCTCCGCCCCAGCAGCCGAGTCCCAGGATATCCAGGCAGAGTTGGTCACGCAGTCCAGGTAGCCTCTGACTCCTTGAGGCTGACACGGCGCTGAGGAGAACGCATCGGAGCTGTCAGTGTCTGTGACGGGATGTTTATATTGAAACATGTTTCTCTCATACCTGACTGGATGCTGCGAGTCTGATTGTGCTCGCTCTGACAGGTGCCTCTCACAGAGGTGACTTGAACAGCGTACGTGTCACCACATGTTAGGCTGCTTGTGGAGCAGGTGGTGTTTGTGGTGTTGCATACGGCGGTATTTTCTCCGTTCGCAGCGGTTAGGTGAACCAAGAAGTGGTCAGCGTCTCTGACAGCATTCCAGGTGACAGTCAGGTCATTGGACAAACAGCTGAGTTCGGCGTTCAGGTTGTGAGGCGGGCAGGGGCCTGAGAACACAAAATCAGCATGGAGACAAACTCATCCCTGTTTTTTCGGGGGGTGATTTCTGAAACGGCGCTACACTTTTTACCTGATTCAAAAAGCACAGGCAGACTGGGGAGGCTGGAGCACCTATCGTCCATCGCCACCACCTGAACCGTGTAGTTGGCGCCGCATGCGAGGCAGCTGAGGTCAGAGGCCGTGCAGCTGTCATCGCTGTGACTGCTATTGGCTAACACCGAGTAGCGCAGGGCTCCTCGACTGGGAGACCAGGACACGTCGGCCGAGTTGTTGGAGCAGTTCACTTTCACAGAGACGTTAGTGGGAATGCACGGCACTGGACAGAGACACAAAACAACGGTTGGAGTCATTTTAAACTGTAACGCGCAGAGAAAAGGGTTCAACCAATTGGACTGGGAGGAAGACAATTTACAGCAGCCTCTACATTTACTGGTACCGTTGCAAAAGGTGTGTAAAAAACAAACAACAACCTTAAGATAAAGGAATCTTTTGTTGTCATTGCATTTTTTCACAACAAAACTAAAAATAATAAAAAACCCAACCATCACCTGTCTGCAGACTTGTGGGTTCTTTGGAGGTGACGTTGCACTGCCGGTTGAAGGCCGTGACGGACACAGAGAAGTTGTGCCCACACTTCAGGCTGGCAATGCTGCACGCGTCTCTGTCTGACATGCACACGTCTGAGATGCCTGTGTCCGTCTGCACTTTGGCCGTGTAATATTCTGAGCCGTTGGAGGAATCCCAGGATACCATGACGATGCTGGAGATGCAGTCCTGCTTGGCGGAGATCCCCACTGGCAGGCACGGCCCTGGAGAGGATCAGTGGAGCGTATCTAAAACATTGCACTCATCGCTTCAGATATGCTTGGAATCACTTCTACATATTTTGCCTCCGATATCTGATTGGTACGCACAGGTCTGGACGGAGGTGGACTTGCTCGGGTTGCCGGGACAATTACGGTTGACAGGAGTGACTGTGAGGTTGTAGTTTTGGCCGCAAACGAAGTCAGAGAAAAGAGCGGTGGTGGTGTTGGTGCTGAGTCTGATCACTGTGTCTCCTGTCTGAGCCGAAACCATGTAGGTTTCTGTTCCGTTGCAGACGTCCCACTCAAGAGAAACAACCTTCATGCCACAGTTCACAGTGGCAGCCAAATTCTGGGGCCTGCAGGAATCTGCATGAAATCAAAATGATGATGATGTCGCAGCAAGAGTTAATATTTACCACCAATAACTCTTAATGTGGGCCTCATAACTTACTCATGTAGATGGTTGAGGAGGTTTTGGACGTGCGGGTGCAGTTGTCAGCTTTGGCTCCCACTACAATCTTGTACTGCTCCCCACAGTGAAGGTCAGTCCACGAGCAGGAAGTGGTGTTTGTGGTGCACAGGTGAGTGTGCCCATCCAGGCCAGTTGCTCTAGCAATGTAGGATTCAGCGCCATCGCTGGGGGCCCAGCTAACAGAGCCCACATTGAAGTTGCACTGCAGCGAGGTCACCACGTCCCGCGGGACGCACGGACCTGCAAAGAAATGACAGATTCCTCTGTCAGTTTGTGAGCTTTGGGGTTTGCACAGTTGCATCAGGACACTAATCCAAAGGACACCAGCAAAACCACCTCCAAATGGCAAAAAATAGATAAATAAAACATCTAAATGACAGTTTTGGATTAGTCTTGTCAAAATGTGGTCCAGAATCTGAATGAGATGCTGCTGCATAGGCTGGTTATACTCATAACCTCCCCAATATGAATGAATTAAAACAATTCAAGCCAAGAGTGCCTCAAAATTCCCCACAATGTTCTAAAAGACAAATTACATAGTTTTTGCTGGCATTGATGGCAAAGCAGAAAAAAATTACTGAAACCCATATAAAAATAAACAAGACGAAGTGAAAAATAATATACCTGTTCTGAAGTAGAAGGGCCTGCTGGGCATGCCGTCACAGTCGCTGCTCTGTGCTTGAACGGTGAGGTTATAGTGCTGTCCGCAGGGTAAAGTGGCTGAAAGAAGCCTGTGGGTTGTGTTGTAGGCTCCCGTGAAGCCGAGGCTTCCCTTCGCTGTGACTGAATACTGAGCCGGAGAACCAGGCTGATCCCAGGAGAGCCGCACCTCGTCACTCTCACACAACATCTGAGCAGAAACATTCACAGGCTGGCAAGGTTCTGAGAAAAAAGAACGGAGTTGCAGTAGTGAAGACATGGGTATTATTGCAAGATGTATCATCAAAAAAAGAAATGCCGTTTGCAAGTATTACAAATGTACATGTTTGTCTAAGTCGTTGTTTTTCTTAAATTTTTTTCTTCTTTCAAATTTTACACACAAAAAATCAAGATGTCCTCTGTAGATAATTTTGAATGTCATCAAACACAACTTTGATGACATCTGCATCAAGCTGATCTATTGATAAGGAGAATATAAAATGTGCACCTCATGTTCAAATTGGATTCATTTGTTTCACAGTTTCAAACTTTTAAATAACCAAAAATAAAAGACTGAAGTATAATATTCTTTTAGGAGAAAGATGAACATTGTGGGCCATCAGTTTTAGTGCATTTAAATAGTGTTACCTCAGAGTTGTACTACTCTGCCGAGTGTCAATATCCTGGCCTTTATTTTTAATATTAGGAAGTAGTTAAAGTTTAAAATTACTGGTCAGTTTTTGAAGTTAACCATAATCATGAAAAGTTACATCCAGTAGTAAGAAACCCAAAAATCTCTTTAGCATGTCGATAGCCTTTGCTTCTGGCAAAAACTGTGTTTTTTTTCTGTGATTTAAAATGATTATCTGTTATGTCAGTTTATCTATTGAGGCTAATTTATGTTGGATTTTATACAATAACAATAATTTTAAGATGAGAAACATTTGCATGGTTTCTGTAGGTGCAACGGAGAAGGACTTTTTAGCCACTTTGAATTTATGCAAAACTGAAATAGTTTTAGTTCTATTCATTAAAATGTAAAATCAGTTGTGTCTAGTAAAGAACATCCCAATATCCTCTGTCATGCATTGAAGTTAAAAGATAAATTCAAACCAGATGGGTTTGCCTCATGCATGGAGTAACATTTTAATAACAGCATGTATATTTTAAAAACAGTATTTCAGCCTCTGAATTACCTGTGTGGATGAGAATAGGGCTACTGGATCGACTCCAGCAGCCTTTACTATATGCTGCAACCGTAAAGTTGTACATTTCTCCACAGTCCAGACCAGAGAAGCTGCAGGAAGAGCCTGAGGAGTTGCACATTTTCAATTCCCCTCCTGATGATTTGACAGCACTCGCTGTGTGGAGTTCAACGTCGGGTTTCTCTTCCCAGGATACGAGGGCAGAGTGGAAGCCGCACTGCAGACTGACAGACACACGCTGGGGCGTGCAAGGACCTAGGAAAGGTATTAATGGATTGGAGTTAAACGGCAGAGAAACACACTGACTCATCAATGATCGGCTGCTGAAAATTACGGGTGGTGACGTTGACGTGCGTCTGAGCCGTGAGGCTGCATTGCTCGTTGGTGGCGATGAGGCTGAGTTTGTAGGTGTCCCCGCAGCTTAAGCCGCTTACGTTACAGGAGCCATGTGGAGTTGTGCACAGAGTTTGCAGGGTTCCTGCGACGGAGGCCACGACCGAGATGTTCGTTGGTTGACTAGCGTTCCAGGAGACGATGGCATCAGTACCGGACTTACAGCTCACTTCTGCTGCAACCTGACTGGGCAGACATGGGGCTGATGGAAAAAAGCAAAACATTTAACTGATTGACAGAAAAAGAATCTGTTGTACCTCTCAAAATATGTGAACTTTTTCCGATTTTGTCAAGTTATGATCACAAACGTTTCACATTTTTGGTGAATTTTATCTGCTAGACTAACACAAGTGGCTCATGACTGTGGAGGTAATAATAAATCCAGTTGAGATCAAAACATATTAATGTGTTAGAATTAGCCAAAGTCCAGACCTAAATGCAACTGAGAATCAGTTGTACAAGATGAAAACAAATGTACGCCACACTTTTCTGCTTTCTTATTAGAAACAAAATTGGCAGCTGTTCAGCATCTTCTTTATCATCTACTTTTAATGGCCTGCCTATCACATGAAATCTCCATAAAACACACTGATTATAGCTGTAATATGGCAGAATGTGAGAACGTTCAAGGCAAATATCCTGACACGATATTTTACCTGATGTAAAATAGAGCACAGAGCTGTCGGAGCTGTTGTACTGCTCTCCTAGAGCTTTGACCCAAACTCTGTAGACAGTGTCACACATCAGCCCAGACACACTGCAGAAGGTGTTGGTGCTTAAGCACGAGGTGGAGTGGCCATTTTGGTTGTTCAAGTAGGCGACATAACCCACAGCGAGGTTGCTCTGTTGCCAGGACACGGTTGCTCTCAGCTGCTCGCATGACATGTTGGCTTGAACGTTTGTGGGCGGGCAGGGCGCTGGGTCAAAGCAAATAATCAGACACGTTTACACATAAAAAACAAAAACGCAGGCCAGCAGGTAGTTGCTAGGCGAACGAGGGACTCACCAGTAACGAGGCGGTGTGGCGCTGAGGTCACGGTGCTGTTGCAGGCCGAGTTTCTGGTCTGCACGGTGACGTTGTAGATTTGACTGCACTGCAAGCCGGTGAAGGAGCACTGGGAGGCGGTGGAGTTGCAGGCGGTGGAGTTGCAGGCGGCGGTCACGCCCTGCTCCGTCACAGCCAACACAGAGTATGAGCTGCTGCCTCTTGCTGTGGACCACGACACCTGGGCGTCGCTCCCATTCAGGTGGACAGACAGATTGACCGGAGTGCATGGTTCTGAGGAGAACAGGCAGTGAACTAATCTGAACCGAACGAGTGATGCGGTTCAGAGACTGTAAACATGCTGTGTTCTCTACCTGTGACGAATTGTCCTGCCATGTGAGCTGTGCTGTTACATGCCTCTCCGATGGCCTTTATGGTGATGTTATACTTTTCACCGCATTGCAGGAAGCTCGGCTTGGAGCTGGTGGTGTTGGTGGAGCAGCTGCTGGTGTGGCCCGATGAAGATGTTAGCATGGTAGCATAGGACACAGCTCCTGCACTGGGCTGCCAGGACACAGTGGCAGAGTGGGTCTGACAGTCCATAAAGGCTTTGATACTGTGTGGCTGACAAGGTCCTGTTTGAAACAGAAAGAATGAGACGAGTCAGTGGCGGAGGCTCTCCGCGCAGGGTGGAGAGGCACAAGGAACAAAAGAAAAAGACAAGAAAAAGAAAACTTTTTGACCACAAAATTAGTTTTCTCTATTATCTCATGACAATATTTAGCAGCTATGCAGTTGTGCCACTGAAACTTGGCTTGAAAGGCTTGAAGTAATAGTTTAACATTCGTGTGAGGTTCTGTTAAAGGTATATAGTAGATATCTCTCTTATCTTCCATTAGCACAATTTCAAATGGGTTGGTGCTGGTACCTGATGTCAGCGAGACCACGGCGCTCTTTGTGCTGTTGTGCTGCTTTCCCAGTGCTTTGACCCAAACTCTGTAGACAGAGCCACAGCTCAGCCCAGACACAACGCAGCTCGTGTCAACGTCTGCCCCAACGCAGGAGGCGTTGTGTCCACTTTGGCCGTCAAGGTAGGCGACGTATCCCACAGCAAGGACGCTCCGCTGCCAGGATACAGTGGCAGTGAGGTAATCACAAGAAATGCTTGCTTGGACATTAGTGGGTGGGCAGGGTGCTGCATAAACAAGAAACACATTCAAGTAAAAAAAATAAATAATAAAAAGTATAACGCAGTAAGTGATATAAATCTTGTGGTGACAGACCTGTCATGAGGTTGGACATGTCAGAGATGACGCTATCACAGGCCTGGTTCCTTGCTGTCACGGTGATGTTGTAAATGCGGCTGCACAGGAGGACAGGGAGGAAGCAGCTGGTGGCATTGGTGGTACAGGAAACAGATGACCCGCTGTCTGCCACCCCCTGAACCGAGTATGAGGCGGCACCTTCAGCCCGGCTCCACGTGACCCAAGCGCCGCTCACATTGTAATTGACAGAGACGTCCATAGGAACACACGGCTCTGATGGGAGATACGGAAAATCATGCTCATGTCTCACTCGGTCCATGTGTTTGCGCTAACTCACCCGTAGCAAACGTGACGGGAGCGCTGGCAGGTCCAGGACAGCCAGCGTGGATCGCCTCGACCACGACGGAGTAGTGCTGTCCGCAGGCCAGCTGGTCCAGGTAACAGGATGACCCCATGTCACTGCAGGACGCGTTGTGTCCAGCAGAGGAGGTCGCCAGAGCGCTGTAGGCTGTGGCTGCAGTGGCTGCCGCTTTGGTCCAGCTGATCCGAGTTTTACGTGTCGTACAGTTGAGATTGGCTGAGACGCTGGTTGGAGGACAAGGAGCTAAAAAAGGAGAGAAGAGGGAGTTCAGATGGAAAAATAAAAAAAGAAGTCAAAATTTTTTGTTTGAAATCTAGGAAATTATCCTTTGCTTTTTTGCAAAAAGTTGTATTTTTAAGTTCATTCAATTATCGTACAAGCATCCTTTTCTTTGGCCGAATCAATTTCCAAAAAGTACTAGTCGTACATAAAATAATCTGCAAGTGGAACAAGATATTTTAACTTATGGTATGAAAAAACAAGACATCTTGGCAGATTTTTTCACTTATACGTAGTACTTTTTCATCAATACTGACAATGGCATTATTATTAGTAATATTATTTATTGTTGAAAAGTTACGTGTAAGTTGTTTTTGTTTTATTTAATATCTTATTAGTGCAAGACATTTGCACTAATAACCAGACCAGAAGTTTCTGGTAAGATTTTGTGTTTTGGCAGTGTATTAGTCAAGTTTTGTTAGCTTTTTTGTGGACGTATAATCTCTTCTCCTTTTCTTTTGCTGCCCTAGAAACATTTCAAATGTCTTGAAGACATTTTCTGACTAAAACATTTGTCAGAGTAATGGCAGTGTTACTGTACCAGTGTGCCTCTCTGTGGGGTCGCTCATGTCGCTGACACACACGTTAGTGTATCCCGTCACAGTGAAGGTGTAGAGCTGACCGCAGCTCAGGTCCAGGAAGGAGCAGCTGCTCTCCGCTGTGTCGCAGGTGGAGTTCACACCCGAGGCAGAGGCGGCTCTAACTGTGTAGTTCTGTGCCGCGCCACCGTCCTGCCACTTCACCGTCATCGCGTTGGAGCTGCAGTTCAGCTGAGCTGTGGTGTTCTCGGCTTTACAGGGAGCTGCAGATGTTTCGTTGAGAGATATTTTGTTTTGCATTGTGAAGGATAAACGCAGAAACTGATCTACGCTCAGTCGGGTCCACTCACCAGACTGAACCTTGTAGTCTGAGCCGACGATGACTTCACAGTTTATGGAGGAGGAGGTGACGGCCACGTCGTAGATCCTGCCGCACCTGAGATGGTGGATGGAGCAGGAGTTGGACGTTGAGTTGCAGGAGGCTCGGTGGCCGTCGGTGCCGATGGCCCAGGCAGTGTACTCGTCTGAGCCGGTGGTCTGAGTCCAGTTCACGTTCATCACGTTGGTGTTGCAGTCTAACTCAGCCGTGACGTCGTCTGGCAAACACGGGGCTGAGGCGCACAGTTTGGGACAGAAAAAGTAGGAGACACTATAAGTTAAATATTGCGAGACATGGGCATGATGAGTTCTTGAATCTTTAATTATATTAAAAAGAAAAACTGTGAATTTGAATCTCCTTTTTGCATCTCAAATGTAAAAATGTGGAGGTCGCTAATAGCTACAGGAAACCTTAACCTCAAACTATTTTCTGCAACAAAAAGAAATGAGATGTTTGTTTTACTTCAGGACCATCTGGAATAAAACAAATAAGTGGAAATGGGGTAATTAATACAACCCAAAGCCTCGCCACTCTGAGGGTCACATAAAGATTTGTCAGCACCAATTACAGTGCACAGTGTTGAGTCTCACCAGAGTCAAAGTAAATGTTGGCGTGCTTGGTGCTGTTGCAGCTCTCAGTGGAGGCCACCAGCGTTGCAGAGTACGAGCGGCCGCAGTGAAGCTTCACGGCGCAGGAAGTGTCGTTGGAGGAGCAGGAAGCCACGTGGCCGTGCTTCCCGGTTATTTCAACAACATAGAAACTCGCTCCGCTGCTTTCCGCCCAGGAGAAATTCCCATTGTTGGTCCCACAGTCCACACGAACGGTCAGGTTTGCGGGCTGACAAGGAGCTGGAAGGAAAAGCAAAGTTTTATTTTATTTCATTATTAAGCAGAATGTCTTGTTGAAGTAGAAAGATATCCCACCTGTACTTATTTGTAGGGCTGGACTGTAGGTACTCCTGCAGTCTGCCCCCTGGGCTGCAACACGGACAGCGTATCTTTCTCCACAGAGCAGATTAGACAAAGAGTGTGAGGTGTTTGAGGTTGTGTACTGTGAAGGAGGAGATGCACTCCCTATCCTTTCCCATTGCAGAACGTAGGTGGCCTCTGTCACTGTCGCCCATCTGAGGGTCAAGGTGTTTGTTTCACAGCTGACGTGGCCGGTCAGATTAGCAGGTGGACACAGTGCTGGAAACAAACAGCGAGGAAAAGACATTTAAAACAGTTTGGTCTTTTCAGGCTCCCTGTGTTTTAGTTCTTCCAACCTGTTCTCAGTGTCACTGCTGTGCTCGGCTCGCTCCAGCAGCCCCGGTCCACCGTTACCACCGTGACCGCGTAGATTTCCCCACAGTGCAGGTCGGTGAAGTTGCAGGAGCTCGAGTAGTTTGAGCTGCAAGTATGATTGTGTCCACCATCGGCCGTAGCTGTTGCTATGTACAGCTCTGCCCCGGCCACTCGAGTCCAAGAGATGGCGCTGTCCCCACAAGCAGGCGACACAGTGACGTTGCTGGGAGGACAAAGCCCTGGAGAGGCAATGAGGAGGGTTTAAAATGCAAACAGAGACACAGAAATGAGGAATTAACTTCATTTCTATGTTTACCTGCTCTAAAGCTGGAAGCTGCACTCCGGGCTCCAGGGCACGTCAGTGAGTACGGCGCCACTGAAACGCTGTAGGTTTCCCCGCAGTGGAGGTCTGTGACATGACAGCTGGTGGAGTGGGTGTGACAGAGGTGTGTGTGTCCGTCCTGGCCCGTCACCGTCACATTGTGTCCAACAGCACCGGGGTTGCCCACCCAGGTAATTAAAGCTGAGCGAGTGGAGCACAGAGCGGTGGCGCTCACGTTCTCTGGGGCACACGGGACTGGATATGGAATGAAAAAAATCACATAAATCATGATTTTATCTGTTGGGCAAACACAAAGAAGTGAAAAGCTGTGAAGAAGAAAGAAAAAAGCTGATTGGTTTTGAAATAACTTTGCAAAAAGAAAAACAACTAAAACGCAGGGCTTGATTTAATCTAATTTCCTCTGATGGCCCTGAATTTATACAAAAAAAAAGTATTTTGAGGAGGAACATACAATAAAATATGTTTTGGAAGCATCGAGGTGTGAGAATGTTTTTTTATGATACGAGGAAACTGGTCAGGGATAAAAGTACAACTCTGACTCAGCTTGACTTAATTTCATAGAGTTGGTTAAAATATTAGTCTCATGATGCTTAACGCTGATTGAGACACACTCTAAGAAACTTTGTAAAAATGACAGGAGAGGGTGGATTCAATGTATCTCCATTGATAGTGTGTATATCCTACCTGTTTGGAGGGATTTGCCGGCGCTGATGCTGCTGTTGCACTCCGCTCCCTGAGCTTGGACAGTCACATTGAAATCCAAGCCACAGGGCAGATTTCTGAACGTGCAGCTGGTGTTTGTAGTGCGGCAGCTGTCACGATGCCCGTCCCCTGCTACCTGAGCGAGGAAGCTGGAGCTTCCCGCGGTGTTGGACCAGCTAATCACTGCTGTGCTGGTGCCACAGTCGTACTGTCGAGATGTTACAGTTGGAGAGCAGGGGGCTGGAAAACAACAGAGAGAGAGAGGGGGAAATTTTGAGTTTGCGGACTATAGAATAAAAGGCAAAGCAAATGCAAAAAATTATCACAAGCACACCTGTGGTGATGGTGGCACTGGGTCCGGGTGGACTGTCACACTGTTTTCCTCTCGCAGTGACTGAGGCCGTGTATGTCAGACCACACAGGAGGTCAGACAGACTACAGGAAGCTGCGTCTGAGCTGCAGGAGACACTGTGCCCGTTCCCAGCTGTTGCATTAGCTGTAAAACTTGTAGCGCCGGCCACTGGTGTCCAGCTCAGTAGAGCAGAACTGTTTCCACATGTCAGTGTGCTGCTCTGGATGGATGGAGAACATGGAGCTAAGATGGAAAAGCAAATGGATCAGTGGTGATTCAGTCGTCTGCGATTCGGTCTGTTCAGAGACCAACCTGTCATCAAGGTTCCTGTTGTCTCTCCGGTGCTGTTGCAGGTAGCATCTTCAGCCAGTACCGTCAAGTTGTACACTTTTCCACACCGCAGCTGGTTCAGCTGACAGGAAGTTGTGTTACTCCTACAGAAGATATTCTGACGGGATCCCTCTTCCTGAGCGAGAACGATGTGGGCTGCAGCTCCGGCACCTTTAGCCCAGGACACCGTGGCTGTGTCTGAACCACACTGCAGGACACTGGTCACATTTACCGGATCGCAAGGGCCTGGAGGAACGGGCAGATTCGCATCACACCTCCCGAGTCAAAACAGTAGATTCAGAAAAATGCACAAATTGTACCTGTTGTCGTGGAAGTTTGAATGGGAGCGCTGGAGCAGAGGCTGTCCTGGGACACAACTTGGATGGCATAGCTGGTGGCGCAGTGCAGGCCGGAGAAAAGGCAGGTGAGGTGTGACGTGGAGCAGTGTTCAGAGAAGCCATTCGGACCGGTCACTGTCGCTGTGTAAGAGGAGGCCCCAGAGGAAGCCTTCCAGGAGGCCCGGAGAGAGTTTGTCCCACAGTCGATCACTGCCGTTAGGTTCTGAGAGGAGCAAGGACCTGTCAACACATACAGTGTCACATACAGGGTTTGTACACTTTTCCCACAGTAAAACTCAAGCATTTCAATGTAAGTAACTTTTCCAGCAACCCACTTTGGTGATAGAAACAACACAAATGAACTAAAAAAGCCTGTTTCAATTCACTGTTGTGTGATGCAGTTTATTACTGTACTAATAACGTCTTGTTATTAGACAAGAATATACCGTAGTATCATATATTTTACAGACGGGACAAGGTGAACTAAAATATAACATTTTATGTGAAATATCTCCCTAATGCACACCCGCTATTTTGTCAAACAACAAACATTAATTTAACTAAAATAAGTAAATAAATAAAGTATTAGATAACCTTCATTTAAATTACACAGGTCTATAAGTCATTGAGACATTAGGAAAAATAAATATTAATTACACTGAAACAATCCAATGTTGGGAATGTCTGCTCTATAGAGAACATTTTATCACAAAGCTGTGCAGCACTTTCCAAGCCTTGAAAACACCTAATTGAAATGAAAGTATTTTCAAATATTTCAAACATACCTTTTGACCTACAATTGCACTTTAGTGATGCATCGTCATTACCTGTGTGAACAGTCTGCATGGGGCTGTGCGGTCCGCTGCAGCTCTCAGAGGAGGCTTTCACAGAAATGTTGAGAGCTTGTCCACAGTGAAAGCCCGTGAGAACACAGCTGGCGCTGTTAGTGTCGCAGGTGACTGGACTGCTGCCATCTAGTGGCACGGCCACCGCACTGTAGCTGAGCGGCAGAGGAGAGGATTTCCAGCTGACTGTGAAGTCGTTGGTGTCACAGAGCAGGGCTGCAGTAACGTTCTCCGGAGCACAGGGCACTAGAAGAAACAAAATGGCAAAAGTCTCTGTTATCTAAACTAAAAAAAACTAACTTTTTAAATTAACTTGAAAACATTAGCACACAAAAGACATTTCAAAAGAGTTGAACAAGAAGGAATTCCTGAAAATCAAACTTCAATTAGGGTAAAGATGATGAAGGGGGTATGTTGGAGTGTCTTACGACAACATGGAGTCACTTACATTATTTCATTTCCCCCCTTGTTTTCATTGTAAAAATTACATCATACTAATCCTCAATATGAAACATGGTGGGAGTCGTTTTGACGAGGCGTTTTCTACAACCTGGTAGCATGCGTTTCTCTTTTTAAAAGAAGGCCAGATGCATGAAAAGTTGTACATTGTTTCTTTGTAAATAAATACACAACATAAAAAAGGCCAAAAAATGCATGATGAGAGACAAACTATGACTTTGTGGTCTATTAGGATATCTCCTTCTATCAAATCAACTAATCTTCTCGAATATTTTCCATTTAATCATCATTGGTCTTTTTAGTGTGCTCAAATTGTCTGAAATAACCCCATAAAAGAGAACGTCAAAATTAAATAGCCTTCCCAACAATCCAAGAAAAACAGATCAAATAGTAAAAACCCATCTTATTTATTTAGGAAAACTTGAATGGCTCTGATTTTGTCCGTACCTTGTTCCTGCCTGAAGGGGGTGCTGTAGTTACTGACACAGGTACCGTCAGTGGCAGACACTTGGACTTTGTAGACTTGTCCACAGCCCAGTGGACTCAGGGTGCAGTTAGAGGAGGAGCTGCTGCATGTGAGGGTCTGACCACTGCTGGTGGCTCTTACATTATAGCTTACTGCATTACTGCTGGGGGTCCAGAACACCTGAGCGGCTCCAGCACCACACATCACCTGACTGGTCACGTTAGATGGAGAACACGGCTCTAGAGAGAGAAATGGACTTGATTCAGTCATTGAGAGTGTTGCTAAACCCAGTGTTAGTCAGTTAGTGTTGTATCACCTGTTTTCAGAGACAGTGGGTTGCTCTGTCGACCTGCACAGTTGTTATCAGCTCCTGCAACACTGACGGAGTAAACCTCCCCACACTGGAGTCCTGGAAGGCTGCAGGACGTTTCATTGGACCTGCACTCAGCCCTGTGACCTCTGCTACCCAAAGCCACGGCAGTGAAGAGCTCGGCATTGCCGCTGTGAGCCCACGATACAGAAACAGGATCTGGGCTGCACGCCTGCCCAGCCGTGACATTGGTGGGAGGACACGGCACTGAACAAATACAAAAGAAAAACACAAGTGTTACGATGGACCCAACAAAATCCCATCACATCCTTCTACCTCCGTTCATGTGGTCCTCACATGTTCGCACTTTGACCTCTTTACTCGGCAGACTGAGGCACTTCCCGGTGATGGAGAAAACTGTCACCGTGTAGGAGCTTTCACACTGCAGTCCTCCCACAGTGCACCGGGTCTCTGTGGAGTTACAGGATAGACGATGGCCCATTGCTCTGGATACGATGGCGGTGTAGTTCTTTGCAGGAACGGCGATGCTCCAGGAAACCTTTAGCTCATCTGAGCTACAGCTGACAGTGGCGTTGACGTCCTCTGGACCACAAGGCACTGAAATAAAATGATTCAAAACATGTTTTGATTTGATTTATTTATTTCAAACAGGTTTTTGAAAACAAGCAATCAGTAGAACAGAGAAAACATATGCCTCCATAGCCAAGAACAAAGTAATTTTTTCAACCTTTACTTTAATGTTTGAAAAGGAGTAGAAAGATGTGAACGCTTATTTAATCCTACCTCCTATCTCAACTTTATGACAAACATTATTTACAAACTCAATAATTATCAAAAATTTGTAATTAAAACCATGTTATAATATTCTTGTGCTTGTTCAACATACTGTGCTAAAGAGTCAGCAAGTAAATTATATTTCATAGACAAAGTGGTTATAACCCATTTATAACAAGACAAGAAAATCTTCAGATAATAATAGTAATAGTAAATAACAACTGTACACCATCAGAAAAATTACCAACTCCTTGTCAATTCACACCTATAAATCCATCTTTTGTCATAACAGTAAATAATAATAATAATAAAAACAGAGGTGAAAAACACTGATGGTATTAATGACAGTAAGATAACATCTCGCTCAATTTTTTCCCAAAAATAATAAATAAATAATAAAAAATGCTCCTTTTAGTTTCTCTGTTTGCATTTGAGTGACATTAAAAGTTGCCTGATAATCTCTAACATTTAAGTGTGACCAAAAGAAAAACGATTAGAGACCAAATAATTTGCACAACTCTTTGTGTTATTCATGCTTGGGCTTTTGCACACGCCCTGGGCACTGGTATTACCTGTTTCCATGCCAATAGATGCTGAGGTGGACTGACACTGTCCTTGGCTGTAGGTAACAGTGACGTTGTATTTCTTTCCACATGGCAGAGAGAGGATTGTGCAGTTGTTGACCGTTTTGCTGGTGCAGTTGAGCTGAGCGCCACCCTGATCTTCCAGCAGCGCCGTGTAGACGCCTGACGTCTGGTGGTTCTGCCAGACTATCACAGCCTGGTTGGCATCACAGTCTCTGATTGCCTCAATGTTTGTCGGAGGGCAAGGTGCTGAGGAGAAAAACATAATTCAGACCAATCTTGAATGAGAATTTGGCAATTTAGCACAATTGAATTTGGTTTTCTTGCTCCATCATCTACCTGTCATGAAATGAACCTCCTGACTTGCTGTACTGTTGCAGTCAATATTATTGCCAATGACTTTGGTGGTGTAATTCCGTCCACATGCCAAGTTTCTCATGAAACAGGTGGTTCCCAGTGAATAGCAATGGTATGAATTCCCATTTGCGTCTTCAGCAAGAACAATGTAGAATATAGTCCCAGGGCTCGCGATCCAGTTGACTCTTGCAGAGTCCGGACTGCACTCTGCTGATGCCGAGACATTGATGGGAGTGCAGGGAGCTGCAGAAAGAAATTTATCATATCTCAGCTATCACTGACCAGGAAGAGAAAATTTCTCATTTCAAGAAGGCCCGAGTACGCACCGGTCTGAGCCGCTTCTACCAACACTCTGTCAGTGGAGCAGTTGTCGTTGGAGGCAACAATCCACACGCTGAGCTGTTCTCCACACGGCACACTGGTGATTTCACAGGTATTGTTTGAGGAGGAGCAGTTGTAGGTTTCTCCGTTGTTCCCTTCAGCCTTGACATTGTATAACAAAGCTCCTTTAGCGTAGTCCCAGGTTGTGATGAGAGTATTTGTGAAGCAGTCAGCTTCTGTCTTCACGTTTGATGGGAAACAAGGAGCTGCTCGGCACAGGATGAAAAAAGTTAACCAGTGCAACGGCACAACATTGGACCAAAGGTAATTTATAAGAATCATATTTCCTTTTAGTACTCACAGGTCTGGATGGTCTTGGGTTCGCTGATCTGGCTGTTGCACTCTGAGCTCACGGCATACACTTTGTACGTGTAGAACCGACCACAGCCCACATTGGTGAAGTAACACATCTTGTCCAGCGTCCTGCACTCTGTGGTTTTGCCAGTGTTGTCCACAGCCGTGGCCACATAGTAGTTGGTGTTATTGGTTGGCTCCCAGCTGAAGACGATGACGTTGGAGGAGCATTCATGTGTGGTCTGGAGATGAACCGGAGCGCAGGGGACTGGAGGGTGTAATGAATACACATGAAAACACTATTAATGGAGGAGGGAACAGAAACCAATGTGTACAGTAAATTTGTTCAATGAATGTTTCAATCTGAGCTTTCAGAGTAGCCCAATCAAAGTCTAGATCTTAGTTAAATGAAGACTGATATCCACTTGTGCTTTTTATTCAATCTGTCAGAATTTGATGGGTTTAAAAAAAATAGCAGCAAGATAAAAAGGAGATAGAGACATAACCCTAAAGGGGAGGCTAAATACATACACTAAATGCAGTTTAAACTTCACTTTTTTTAAGTTTGAAAATTATTTATCAGTTTTCTTCTATTCCATAATGTGTTGGTCTTGCACATAAAATCACACACACAAAAAAAAAAATCAATCAAGTTTGTGGTTGTACTTTTGCACTGTACAACATATGGGTGTTTCCCTCCTGAGCAATAACTGGCATTAAAACAACTCCTGATTGAATAAACTGTGCAGGGTTTTAGACTCACTGGTGTCATATGACCAGTTTCATTGCTTCAATGTTACGCTTCTCAGATTCAGAAAGAACATCGGATTCACTGGAAAGAAGCTAAAGCGCTTCCCTCCGGGTAGACGTGTGAGACGGTGAGAGGTAAAATGAGAAGGTACAGTATGTGCATGTGGCCAGCTAAGCCGATGCACCTCAGACAATACAAAAAAAAAAGTGACTCTAAAGAGAGAAAAACAGCCAGTCCTCACCTGTCTCAAACGTGGCTGTGATGTTGGAGGTGCTTTCACAGTCATCAGAGATGGTCGTGACGTGAACCTTGTAGTTTTCTCCACATTTGAGCTCAGCGATCTGACAACTGGTGGAGACTGATGTGCAGTTCAGGGAGGCCTCAGAGCCGTCGACGGCCACGGCCCTGTACAGCTTAGCCCCAAACACCGCATCCCAAGTTACAGTCACTTTACTGGTGGAGCAGCTGTAGTCCACAGACACTGTCGTCACTCCACCTATAGCTGAGGGTGGATATGAAACATGCATTTTACACAATGGCTAAAAAAACCTCATAATTCCATTTATCTAACACTGATTTGCTTAATTTGTTTAACCAAATAATGGTTAAACTAATCATCTGTCCGTCGATCTGTCTTATCTTGAGCAAAGTTGTGTAATGATGCTGCATTCTGCTCTCATCAGCTACCTACCAGCACCAACCAAAGCAAGAGAGAGAGGGCATGCAATGCAGCTCACAGATCATTCTGTTCTTCGTTCACTAGCTCTTGTACATCAGATATTTAGTCACTTAAACAATAATTGAGACAGTGTTTGTGCTTAAATCCTACTATGCAGTGGATTGACACATACTACACTGTTTTTACTCATAAGTACATTCTTGATATGTAGAAAGTCCCCTGATAATATTGTAGAGACTACATATACCACATTGCATCTTCTTTTTGTGCTTTAACTTCGGGAACTCCAACTTTCTGACTTTCTGGTAGGATCAACAAGTTCTTACCAGCTGTACCGCCCTGAGTTTGAGCCACCAAGGATGTCGCATGTGTAAGATGTAGTGAAATGTTGCCTAGATAAATTATTTATTAGCACTCTTCACAAATTCTGCTTTCTCATTAAGTATTTTAAATTTTAAACATGTTCCTTTTGGGTTAAAAAGAATAAAATGTTATTTGTTGGCTTCAAAGCACATTTCAAATCCTACTGGATTTCTGACTTGCAACTACAACAACCTCTGACTAGTGTGAGAGAGTACAGCTGAAACGCTTTTACTTAGTTTTATGATGCTCAAATCAAAGCACTATGTTTGTATTGCAGGAGAACAACTTTTTATTCCCAAGATTTCCAAATACCAATTTACTTGAAATATTTAATCAACAAGTGATATCAAAACAATGTACATGATTGCGTTAGCCTTGCACTTAAGTATTGAACATTGTGCGTTTAATTAGATTTATTCTGGAACACAAATTATTAAAGCATTTTAAGTGTCACTCAGTGAACAGGACGGCTCTAATAGAAAGTCAGCAACAACAAATAGAAGAAATAAAATGATTTATCTTTGTGTGGGCACTCACTAGTAGTATTATATGTGACAGTGGAGGGCTCTCCAGGAACCAGGAAGACGTTGACTGATGATACTCCAACTGTGTAGGTGGAGCAGGGCTCCAGAGAACTGATATCCATGGATGTGGAAGACGAGTTTCTTACAACAGGCGGTTTGTCCGGGTTGCCTTCGTTTCTCACAGCCACTTGGTAAAGCAGGACTTTGCTCACAGAGTTCCACGTCACGCGGGCCGTGCTTTTCCCAGTCGGGGTAAGAGTCACACCAGTTGGCGGCTGCACCACTACCAGCAGAATGAACATCGATTGGTGATGATTAGAAAGAGTTGCTCTCAAGTTGAATTACGTCGTGTTTTAAGCAGAAGACCCTCAAGATCACATGAACTATCACACAGTGTATTGATGCCAAAAGATCAGATTTGTTGTCATGTTTTCATGAAGAATGGGTCTGCTTAGGAGATTTAGAATGTAAAGGATTTGAAATGATTAAAAATACTGTATTTTTTTGACAAATGTATTTGTGGTGATGCAGAAAAAATATTATAGTTTGAAAGTTACAGCAAGTTAAAAGTCAGATGTTAATGCCACTAGTAATCATTTTCTGCTGCTTTACGCTATAATATAATCACTTTTATAGCTGCAAATTATTCAATAAGATACACTTTTACATGTATCTAAACTCTTGTTTTAAGTAAAATAATGTCTGGGAATTTAAGAATTTTAAAGAAAACCTTCTGTGATTATGACAAAATAATTTTTGGCAAGCATAAAAATTTAGGGGGCGTCAAATGCACTATACACAAACAATAAAACTTTTGACATTTTAGAAGAGTTATTATTAGTGCTGTGATGGCTGTTGGGTGATGAGCTTTACTGGGTTTGAGCCCTTCAATCAATCTTTGGATGCCTATGGCCTGCATATTACAGAGAATATTATAAAATAACACATATAAAGACCAACAAATAAGCACTCACATGTTGTTATTGTCCGTACGTTGCTTTTGTCACCTCTCCCTGCAACGTTGGAGGAGTAAATATAACAATCATACGTTGTTGATGGCGTCAAGCCTCCTATTTGTCCACTGGAGGAAGTGAAGGTCTGGTTGTAAATCCTTGGAGGAGAGCGAAACGTCTCCTCCACAAACAAGATGTAGACGTCCGCCCCTGTCACAGTGGACCACTGAAACGTTATAGAAGTGCTTGAAATAGCTTGAGAAGATGTAATCTGGGATTTATCAGGCACTGTGGGAATGGGACACAAGAAATTTGAAATTAATTTCCAACTTTTTTTGCATCAGTTTTGGGGTTGTTGTTTTTTTTTACTGGTGATCTGTTTACCTGTCATTGTTGTCGTTGAAGCTGTGCACACCAGAACATAAGCTTCGTCAAAGGCTGACAGTGTGACCTGGTAAACGTGTCCAGCTCTTAAGCCCTGCACCAACCTCTGGGTGCTGGACGCTGACTGCATCAGCATCAGTGGTGCAACGCTGGTCGAGTTCATGACTCTCAAATCTAGGACATAAAGGCTGTCTCTAGCAGAGCTGTTCCACTTGATGTTCAACGTAGATGCTGAAGGAGATGTCACTGAGACTATACTACATTCTATTAGAAAGAGAGCAGACATCGAGTGAGTTTTATACAGCCCTTAAGGCACAAAATGAAGATTTTGTGAGCAAAAATAAAGTTATTAATAATAAAATCAATGGTTAACTTTCATGTTCTGTCTATTTGAACCTGTTTAAACTTTTATCTATACACTATAAGCATCAGTCATATGTTTGATCCTCTTTTTTCTTGTGCTTGTGTGATTGTCTGGTGTTTGACTGTGAGGCCCATTATTCATCAGCTTAGCGTGTCGGTACCATAAAATCATAACATCTGATTAACAAGAGAATAAAGACAATTCCTCAAAAAAAGTGTTGAAACATTTTTAGGATTTTATGTTGGTAGTATGCTTCAAAAACAAAGGAAAAAACCAACAGCACCCACCTGCAGCCAAACCATAATGTATCTAAAAAGAGAATAAATTAGAACTAATTAGAAAATAAGAACATAAAATGGAAATAAATAACCAGTCGTAGTTTGATGAGTATTCAAATACCTGAAGGAGAAGCAACAGGATGAATGATGAAGACGACACCTGCATCTTATCCATTGTCTGTCTTAATCCTTCAGTGGGTTGATCTGTCTGTGGATGCTGCACCTCAGCAGCTCATCTAAAAAATGTACAGTTGCTCAATAGTGAAGATCAACATCATGAGGACCAATCAGCAGGTCCTAAAAGAGGACAGGTGGATGCCTCAGGGCCTTCCTGTCACTGTTACAAGAAAACAAACTACAGTATAAAATGTGTTACTGTAGGGGAGGGTATCTCAAAACCCCCAGTCTTTTGTGTTAGAGCTGTTCTTTCACTTATGTGCCTGGAAAACACTCATACTTCTACATTCCTACTGGAGATACTCATAGTGTTCAAGGTGAATGAAGCCTCTAAATATGTAATATAGCTTGTTAACAGTGGGGTTTTCTAGAGGATTGTTGTTACACACAGTAACTTACTCATGACTGCCTGATGTGGGTTAACACCTGCTGAAAGGTGTTCCTTTTTCAAAATACTCAACCAATGACAATGTGAAAGAAAATATCAACTTATTGAAAACAACTGTATATCACTCCATTAATATTTTACCCAGGAGATGATAACTAAACCCCTGAACAACATCTAACATCTGCTGCAGCCAAGAGGCATCCATGGGGAAGTTTCAGTGGTGAACAAGACAAACACAAAGATTTGTCTTGGTTCTTTAACTGTAGCCTTGCAACACGAAGGTCCTGGACTGAAAACCCAGTCCAAGACCCCTGAAGGACCTAAACCTGCATGTACATGTTCTCTCTTGGTAGCTTAGACAGGCATTAAACGTTCATGTATTACAATTAATTAATTCTAAATTCTCATGACAATCATTACAAAACCTAAAGCTATTATATAAAACAGCAGAATAGCATTTGCAACAAGTAGGCAGCAACGACTCAAAAATAATTCAAAGATGTCGTCACAAAGACAATTTTTATGGTGACCTAAAATGAAAAAAAAAAAAATGTAATAAAAACCAGCAAACACATGGCTTCAGGGTTTTCATCTTCACATCAGACTCTCATTTTTACTTTCACTCTATTTGTTTTTAGCTGTCATATAAATAAATGTGATAGTTTGCTGCGCGTCTCAGAGTTGAGCTGACAATAGGCCCACGCCTCTGCCCATCAGCTGATAGCTGCATGTTTTTAGGGATCCAAATTTTCTAGCTGTAATAAATCCAGGGTGGCTTTTGTCTGCCTCAAATTTGAAACCAAACATTATTCAATATGTTCGGTAAATTCAGACAATTTACCAAACATAAGAGATACTTGGTCACAAGTATCTCTTACTGGAAACCCAGCAGTACGAGCTCACAGATATACACGTTTACACAGAGAAAAAACGTTTAGATGAGCATACTAGAAATCCAAAAGTCAAATTTTATGTTTCGGTAGGAGTCATAGATTTTCAATAAAATGCAAGAAATGACTTTCTAGGTCAAAAAGATTAGATTTCTATTTGAGATTGTTAAATGCCGTGTCATGATGACGAAAATAATTCTGTTAAAAGAACATAATGGCAGAATATGAAAAAACAAACAAACAAACAAAAAGTTTTTTCTGCGGTCCTGAAAAGACTTGAGTCAGAATACAAAAATGCATAAATTAGCTCATATCTGACTTCAGAGACAGTCGGGCTTTCTTCCATTCATTTGGATTTCTTCTGGTAAAAATGAACAAGGCCAGTCATCAAACAGAAGAAGCTGATTACCTTGATGTTCTACACTGTTCAGTCTGTAGTTTTAGCAATGGGAGGAATTGAACACAGACATTCAGTCCATGTTGGTCATGCTTTAAAAAATTCATTTAACGTCGACAGCTGCCTCGTTTTCTCTTGGAAGTGGAAGACGGTTTTATACAGCAGTGAGCATTACAGCACTGAACTGGCATGTTGCTCTCATCATGGACAAACATTAGCAATTGCTAAGGTTTTAAACCTCAACAAAGTCCTTGCCTCCAGGAATTAATCATTTCTCAGTAGCAACGGGTCCAGAACCTCTGTGTTTGAAGGGAAGTGAAGAACAAAGGCTGGTTATACCAAGCCAACATCTCGACAACTATGGCGCCTCCCGAACCAAATATGTGTGAACATTTCACGTGACTTTAGACGCTCATACGGCATGCAAATAAAATTTAAAATATGTGATGCTTGCACATCAAATAAAAGTAAAAGAAATTCACCAATATTTGGCCTAAGAGACATTAAATGTCCATCTTCATCTCTGATCTACATCTGCTGTGTTCCTTAGTCTTCATGACGCTGTTTGTCCTCTGAGGCCTTCACAGAACAACTGTATTTATCTTGAGGTTTCACTACATACAGGTGAGATAAACTACTTATGTAAATTCTGAAGACAGGCAGGTTACTCTGGATTTCATGTTAAAAATATGCAAGAGAAAAATTGCAGGCAGCACTTTTCACATTGTCATTGGTTGAGTATTTTGAAAAAGGAAAAATGTATATTTAAAAAAAACCCAATGCATCATGCTCTTTCCATGGGTGTAATAAAAGATCTCGTGTTCTTGTTGCTTGTTTGGGACAGATCACGTCTTATGTTTGGTCCAAGAATTATGATGACATGTGATTGGTCAGGACATGCTGACCACAGAGGATGGGTCCAATGTCACCTTTCCAGTTTTCCCACGTGAGTCTAATCAAGTATTAAAATGTCCTGGCCAGAAATAACTTTTCAATACTTTGTTTGATTACTCAAAGGTTTTTCCCTCATTTGATTGAACAGGTGTGAAAACGATGTACAGAGAAATCAATGATGCGAAGCATGAAGAAATAAAAAAGTGGAGTTTGTCCACAGCTGTTACAGCTGATGATGTAACAGCCATTTACATCGTCAGCTCCCAAAATTTGCAGATTGACAGAGAGCTGAATTTTTTTGGGCTCAAAATCTAATCCTGAAAATATGTAGCAAATAGATTCACAGACTTCGGTTTTTGGATGCAAAAAATTGACTTTATTGTCTTCATCTGTCAAACAAGCACAAACACCTTCAGTGAAAGCAAAGTTTACACTGAGTCTGTCTCCAGGAATTTGATCAGATGTATCATCCACATGACTGTGCACGCATGACTCCGAGCGGATGGGATTGATGTCATCTGTCCCAGTTTCGCGTTCAGGGCCGCCAACCAACCAGGAGTAACGTGATATGCAACCGTGTGGAGGCTTTCTACTTGGAGAGGTTCTAGCTTATCATTTTATTGTGTTTTTGTCATTACATACATGACGAATTGGATCAAATTCTTAGAATAATAATAAAAAGAAGCACTTAATACTTCTGTATGAGTTGGGGCAGTCTTATTCTATCTAGTTTGGGATTTTTATTTTTTAATTTTATTTCACAGAATTACAAGTCTCAGCTATTATTTTTTGTGTGTGAAACATTACAGCTTCAATGTGTGAAGGTTAAATAGGTGGCCATTTCTTCTAAATCACCAAAATAAAAAATAAAAATAAAAAAAAGATTTTCAAAAAACAATATCACAGTTGATTTCCCCCCCAAAGCTCCCAGATATTTTGTGTTGTATGGCTTTGGTATTATAGTACTTATATTGAATTATTTCTATATGGATTTTTGTCTCACAAACAGTTTCTCTGAGATTTTAAACAAGCTGTACTATTCTTCATTAATCTTTTCAATCTCCACTAGTGTAAACAAAGCTTTTTGTCCTTATTGTAATGACGGTAGACGATCCTCCCTGTGGGAGAGAGAGAGACAGAACAGACAACTTGATAAAATGTTGGTTTGTTGATAATTATTTCCATCCATCATCAGAGGCTCACATACATTCACGATGGGCTAGAATCCTAAATTAATATGGGGCTTTTATTGACTAATTAACAATGTAATTTTTTCCAGGACGGAGTAATTATAAAAGAAAAATCTAAGCATAAATAATGAACAAGTTTGAATCTTAAAAAAAAAAAATTCTAAACCACACAGAGTCAAGTTTATACCAAATGGCTCAAGCAAATTGGACCCCCAATACTTAAAAAAAAATGCTTTTTAGAAAATCACTTCCAATGCGTTCCATCCTTCTTTAAACCCATTTGGATGTGTTTTTGGGATCATTTTCCAGTTTTAACTGTCAAAGTTTTAACTAACTCAATCAGCAATCACTAAGTATGCAAAAAAGTACCAATGTTCTGTTCCTACATGTCCCCTTCAATAACTATTAAGATGTTTCAAGAACAGTCATCAAACAAGTCCCTCAGGTAAAAACTGGCCCAGATTGCTTCTCTTTCTGCTCCTCGCTATTGTTTTCTTGTTCTTGCAAAGAAAGTTTATTATGCCTTCTTGAGATACTTCAATGGGATATCATGTGTCCCAAGGACCCAGTGAAAACGGCATACAGACATTATTTATTTAATTTTTTTGCGTCTCAAGTTTCTGTAATCTGTGTGGTTTTGTCAGGAAGGTGATGGCTAAGCACCATGGAGTCGAGCAATAAACTTACCACCGCTACTTTACACTTCGTCTTCTTCGCGAGATAACTGGAGAAACACAGAAATGACAGTTCAGCATAGACTTCGTTTTTTAAAAAACTCAGTTTATCATCAGGATATCATTACAATCTAATATACAAATGCTTCATGTCTGCAGTGTATGTGAGGCTCCAATTGAGGAATCATTTTGTTTAGTTTGGGGTGAATGCTGAAATGAAAATATATGAAAAGAGATCTTTTATAGAGATGCGTATTTAGGTTTACTTCAGATTTCAATATTTATTCTGGACTCTAGCAGAGCTAACGGTTTAGCATCATGTTTACTTCCCAGTGAAAGAAACATTTTCACTGAAAGGTTGGAAAGAAAGAAAATATTTGACTTGATTCTACATCCATCATTCTGACAAATTATACTCACCCATTCCAGCATTACTTCCTGGACAGGGAACTGAGAAGACAGAAATAAAAAAAAACATTTGTAATCAGCATCTTGAATGATTAAAACTGCTCAACACACCGAGTTTACATACACACATCATGTGAATGAAAGTCATTTTACTTTTGTGGTCTTCAATGGTCAGT